TTGGAGTTAGTGATTGCATCGTTTACATGCTGTATCTGCTCCACAGAAATGAACTGATCTGTGCGTCTCACTTTGGCATTCATTCTTGCATATTTCATCTCCATCATGTGGGAGTGCTCTGTGCCGTGCATGTGTTTCTGTCTCTGACTCATCACACCAGTTGGTGTACCCACATGACAAGCTGGCTTGTTACTGGCACCCAGCACTCCTCCACACTGGCACCATTTATTTATCACCAACAACACTCAGCTTTGCTTCTCCCTAAAAGGCTCCACTTTTTTCCCCCAACTCCTAGCTTCTCTTGGACATCACAGCAACAAGCATCCAAATGTTGAATTCACAAACTAAACAGTCAAAGCACTGACTCCATCTTATTGAATTATAAACATAAACAATCTTATCAAGACCCAAGAAAACAAAAAATGAAGGAGAGCAAAAATAAAAATAATTTATGACTGTAAAGCAAATGGTTAAAAAAAAAAAGGTAAAGCAAATTTATTTTATATAGCACTTTTCAATAAAAAGACAATTCAATGTTCTGTAGCGGCAGTTTAGAATGAGATTAATAAATAAAATAATAAATAAAATAATGACAAAGGGCAGTTTTATTTTTATATAAGACATATTCACATTATACATAAAGTCATATATTATAGTAGGGCTGTTTTATCTTTATATAATACATATTCACAATATACATAAATGTATACAGTACAATAGTAGAGTTGTTTTATATGTATACATTATATTTGCATTTAGTGGTAAAATAAATATAAATGTTCAATCTATACCTCTATAGATGACTGTTATATTTATTTCTAAGTTAATAGAAATAAATATCTTAATCTAATCTAAATGTGAAATCAAAAATTTCAGCGTTAAATGATTAGATATGTCGCCTAACTTTTTGTTCACCTTCTTGTTTCAGTTGAGAGGATAATTTTATCAAGTTTAATCTGTAGGCTTTTTTCCTGATATGACCTCTTCCGCCTCTTTTAGACTATAGATCTGAAAAACCTTCACTGTCAGTTTTTGCATTTAATTAGTTGTTTGAGTGAAAGTTCTACTGCTTCATCTTTATGGTGTGAATATGGTGTGACAAGCAGTCGTACATCCTGGCCTCTATTAGCATATAGGAACTCTGGCAGTGAGGAAAGAAGCAGCCAGTTAAAGAGCAGATTAGACTTCTGCATCCGCACACATCAAATGTCGCTTGCGTCTGGTCACGAACCAGTTTTGATGGTGTGCTTCTGCACCGTCGATCTGGAATTTCTAGGGATGCACAGCAGTTTACCGCCAAAGCGCAACGGGGGCCTATTCGAGAACTCATGAGAACTTTGGCGGATGGTCACGAGCACTTTGTTCTGGCAGAGACCTTGGAATCTTTATAAATTTTTGTCTCAGGCTTCGTACAAGAGGTTGTACTTCCAAACGTCCTCGATTAACCTTTTGTCACAGTGGTCCATTGTAGTTGTTCCTCGGTTTTAAAAAATGGCGCGCCCTGACACCGAATCAAGATGGACGACCACACAGACAGCCAGAAAGGCATACCAAGGACCAATCACAGCTCGTTTTTGTGGGCGCAATTCCGCTTAAGGCCTGTGCGGGTTTGCGATCGTCCGACGCGTAGTCAGTATATTTTTGTGGTAGGCGACAATGGTTGCCGAACCTCTGCGTGTTGGGCGTGGTCGTGCACAGAGACAGATTTGACGGTTGCAAAGGCTATGCGTCAGAAGCATATATTGGCCTTAAGTCTGTTTCGTTTTGGACTGTGGTGGGAGACAAAACTAAGATTCATGCATAGACACGACATGCAAACTCCACTGGTCCTTCTCACTGTGAGGAAGCTAATTTAACACTTGTGCTACCATGCAGACAAGTAGTTAAGAAAATGTGAACAATCTTACAGCAAAACAATAAAACATGCAGGGAAAGACTAGATGACGGGGAATTGTTATGCAAATATGAATATAAAAAACAAAATCAAAATATCAATGGAGAAGAATAATCAAGAAACCAGTATACCCCTAAAAACTGATGTGTTTTAACGAGCTTACGTACAATATTTACCCAGTTAAGAGCAAACTGAAGCAAAAAAAAAAGCATGAAGTTGCAGTTCTAATTGCTAACAAGTAACCAATGGTTTTTGAATAACCTTATTGCTGGTTAGTCATTATTAGTAGATCTCTCTGGTTAATTTTAAACAGAAGATTGCACATATTTGTTTTCTAACTTTCAGAACATCAAAGAATCTGCCTTCTGTGTTAGAGCAGGAAAAAATGGTTAATTATTTCCCCTGACCCATCTCCATGGATTTGGTTTCTAAAGAATATCAAACAGGTTTAGTTTTTGCCCTGATAAAATTGGCATAACTGTTAGAGGACCCAGTTTAATGAAAACACTGTAGGTGTTGGAGCAATCCGAGTCATTCATGTTGGAAGAGCAGCTTTTAATTACCTCCCATCTACAGATATGCAGATAAATCCTTAGGGAGTCGTGTTAGAAAGGAGGACTGAGTCAATTTTTTTTAAATCAGCTGTATTGCCTATTGCTGTAAAGCATCTATTTTGTCTGCTGTGCGGCTCAGTTTGAGAAAAAGAGATTAACCTATTGTTTGGAGGTATTTTAGACTGATAATAGAGAATGTATCAATTTTATTTGCTTTTCTGCACGTAGCTGCCAGACAGTGAACTTACGCAACATTCAATGCATGAGGCTTGCTATTTTTTTAGCTGTTAATGGTTTCTTTCGGAGATCGAAATGCATTGCAGTGGGATGTGAAAGAAAAGGAGGTGAAAGCCCATGCTGAATTGTTCGGAGTGAAGACAATAGATGTTTGTTTCAGATTTTTGTAAATGCGCTGCACGATTAAATCTGCACAGTTTAAAATGCCAACAGACCCACAGCAATAACAAAAACATCTCAGGACTGTCAGAGCTCACAGTCGGATGTCTTTGAATCTTTATTTTTCAATAGCTGAACAGAAATTACTCAGCAATTACCCATGAGGCATTTTTTTTTTTGTGGCTTATAAAATTACCAGTTATATTATTACATAAGTCATATCAAACTCAAAGGTTTGTTGAGTTTTGAAAGCTGTTTTTCATAGAAAGGATTGGGTTATGAAATAAATTATTTTGCAAATGCAAGATTTGTCATCAAGGTTCTTCCTCCTTTCTAATATCCAAAAGAGTGATTAATGAGGAAGAAATAGGAGCAGATTCATGATTATAGGCAGTGCAATTACAGGAGATAAAAAAATATCTTTTAAATTGATGTGTTTTAACTGCTTGGGGCTGTATGACAGCAAAAAAAGACAAGTAAAAAAGAAATGTATTTCTGTTTACTTATTCGAAAACAATAACACCGCTCAGAAATAAGCAGAGAAAAACCTCGAAAGGTTACAGATTTTCACAAAAAGGAGGGAATTATGAACTAGAAAATATGCCAAATTAAATGAAACAGTTTTTGTTTAGATTGACATGGCCCTACAGATAGACATGCTTGTATAAAGAAGTTTAAACTAAATAAAGTCCCAACAACTTTCCATTGAACATTATATACCACATTTTGGCTTCCTAAAAATATTCCCAGAGTTCTGCAGCTGTTACTGCAGAGACCAAATATGAAATCTATTGATATTAAAGGATGAAAGGAAATTACTTGATGTTATATACCTGATCTTAAAAGTTTTACTCTATGAAACCAAAAGGAGCATCATAAATGTATTCAGTAAACGTCGCCAGAACTAGAATGCTGCACAGTAGAAAACAACAAATTGCTTGACTTGAAGTTCGACCTTTTGCCATTACACCCAGACCTGCCCTGGCTCTCTGCAGACATTTGATTCTAGTACAGCAGCTGAAAACTGGCTCTTCCACTGGCTGCAGATTCCTCAACAGACTTTTGTTTAGACCTCAGAATATCTTTGTGGTCTGAACTTTGCATTGCAATTGTACAACAATACTAAGTGGGACATAGTTTAAAAAAAATGTCCTGAGTTGGGCTAAGAAAACGTTTTTATTTTAATCAAACCTTTATTTAACCAAGTTTTTTCACTGAGAAACAAGTTCTCATTTACAACAGAGACCCTGTTTGGACAATTGTTAACAGCTTACCAGAACAACAATTCATAGCTTATAAACACACGATCACAATGTTTATGATTTATTATTATTTTGTGTAACCTTTATTTACAGGTAGTTTCACCGAGTTTCACAATCTCAACTTCAGATCTTAAAATTTACAGAGGTTATATAAAGGCCTGTGTGTTGTTCAGTTATCAAATGATTCCACTGTCCTTTCTGGCATTACTGTGGTACTTTAATGCAATCTGGGCTTTCATTGCTTTACAGACATATATATATAAATGTGCTAACTGCTTTAAAGGTATACGGTTAATGCTTAGTGGGTAGTGCAAAGGGGTTTTTGTTGCCATGGCAACAAATCACAAGGATGCATTTAATTTTTCATTAGATTTTTTTTTGTTTTAAAGAAAGGGATTAATTGTATAACATTGCAGTGAATAACTATGGCTGGTGCTTCTAATTAAGTAAAAAAGCAATGCAGCTGACAAGTAGTCCAGAGGGATGTTTTTTAATGTCTGTTGAGTTCAATAAAGGATTTGCAATAGAGTTAACTTTCAGAACTCAGTCGGTCAACCAATCAGGTGCAGATTAGTAGAAACCATGAGAGCTAGCTCACATGGAGAGTCAATGACAAAGGGAGCTGAACTTATCCATCTTTAAGGAGGTTTTAACAGGCAGTAGAGAGGCCATCCCAAAACAAGAAAATGATGAATAGTTTAAAAACAAGATACAGTTATACATAAATCATGATAATGGATATGAATAAAACAATTCACAATTAAAGTTGAATGCAGACACCAATCAGCATTTAAACTTTTTTTTTTTTTTTTTTTTTTAACAAGGCTGTCTGGATTTTTAAAGGAAATTGAATTCACGGTCAACTGTTAACATATTCTCTTCTTTTTTCTATAGGCTGATGAGGAGGACAATATTGGGTATGCTGAAGGAGCCACAGAAGGTAAGTTCATTAGATAAGCTCATATCCCAGCTGCTGATTTCACCAGAAACACCCTGTTCCCTGGAGATACTTTAAATGTCATGTAGATTTAGCATTATTGACCAGATCCTTGAATGGACCTCTGTAGCTTATGTGAGTGTGGGTTTGTTTTCACTGCATCAACATTATTGACAGGCTAATATCTAGGGAAAGTTGTGGGTTGATTTACTGTTGAATGTGAGTGAGACATGATGTCCTTTCATCTTCCTAACAAACTGAAAGGACAGAAAGCTCTGAATGTATGCTTTATGGTGGTTAAAGGTTTGCATATACATGATGCACCGAGGCTGTAATCTTGTTTCATTCCTAAATTTAAGTTTAAACTGACTCTGTTAAATCAACTAGTAATTTGATCAAACCTGGCCTGAATTTATTAATAATAATTATTTTTATGAGCATATATTGAAACCATCCACATAATCAAAAATCGGTGTGTTTTTTTTTAAATCCTACAACTACTTATAAAGAGATGGTTTTCTCAATGAAAAGAAAATATTTTATTAAAAAGTTAGAAAAATACTAATGTAAGAAGAATTGACGGATTCTGTTAATTCCCCTTCTTGTTTTCACCTGATTTACATGGATAAAGAAAATAATCTTTTATGAATACAAAAAACTTTTACGGATTTTTTTAAAGAAAGAAACACTGATACCTGCAAATAGTTTCAATGTTAAAGAGATAAATGAGCTATTTAAAGGATTTGAAAAAGATGATTTACTTCTCTTATTGTTCTCTCCATGCTTCTGTTGCAATATTAGATATATGTAGAAACCGGTATAAGTAACATTTAGTCATAATACAGCCAAAAAACTGCCAAAACACTGAAGTTAGTAGGATAGTAGATTTATTAAAAAGAAAAAACAAACAAACAAAAAAAACAGTTTACCAGCTGAGTTCATAGGGTGGTGATTGATAAAGATCTATCCAGTCCAAAGGATTAGGCTACATCAGGACAAATGTTGTCTTCGACAATAACTTGGTGAACTAGAATCCAAACCAGGCAGTTAAAAGTTTTCTGTTGTGAGCCCATTCTGCCTTTGGTTCTCTGCAGTGTTAATTTAGATAGAAGATCTGCTCAGGTTCTGATCGGCATTGTTACTCGGATGGATGCCCATAGACATCAGCACTTCCATATCTCCCAGCTTCTGTGTCAACAGGATGCTTATTTTGCTAATAATTACTGAATAATTTGCAAATTGACTAGATTAAAATGTGTAAATCCTACCTTTTTGTTAAAGGTACCAAAATGTAACAGAAAGATATGTATCCAAAGATTTTTGCTTTCAAAGGCAGTTACTACCTGTGCCAGGAATTAACTTTACAGAACCATTTAGAAAAATAAAACCTTGTAACAAGAAAATTGTGCGATGTTCAACATTAGTTCCTTAAGTTTAACTGTATATCATAATAATATTGTTCCCATTTTTCTGTTTAAAAAAAAGGTGGTAATTTTCATTTAGACTAATTGTGCGGCCCTGTTGGCTAGTTTGGGTAGATTTTACCTAATTTCTCTTGGTGTTACATATTGTAGCTATTACAACAAGATACACTTTAATAACACAATTTGAGTAAATTTACTCAATCAAACTAGGTGCAAAAGGCTACCTTCACTTTTCTGGGGTAAATTTGGCAGTTTTTTTTTTTGTTTTTTGTTTTTTACAGTGTAGCAGCTGAACCCCGCACTTTTAGTTAAATGAATATTAATAACAGAAATAAGAGGGCTGAAAATAAATAGCTCTGTAAAAGCACCATCCATAATGCAAGTCAGTCCAAAGTGCATTAAACGACAAAAGAATGAAAGACATTTTAAATTAAAAGTTTTTCATTATGCACTAGCCACTGAAAATCATTGCATAAAAATAATTGAGTGACAATTTTACATACAAATATAAAGTAGTAAAAGAAAGCCATGTAAATGAGCATTTTTCCAAAGAGACCTGACCTGCCTCAAAGGTTAAAACTTCACTTACACAGATTGTTTATATCAGTCTGGATTAACTTTACTTCATGAGTAATAAGCAGCTACTCCTCTACTCAACATGTTCCTACAAGACAGTCTTATTCTGTCAAATATATATATATATTTCTATGATTTTCTTCTGAATTCATATGGTATTATACTCTGCTGAAGTGCACCCTGCACACCTGTCTATTCCTGTTTAATGCCCACTTAATCTTTGACAGGTTGCGAGGGAGAGGATTGCAATCAGTGTGGGCCCCATATATGCAAAGGGTCAATTTGTAATCTCAGAAAGGCCCCGGCTTTACCATAACCCCATGTCCTTCATTACTGTTAAAGTTTCAGCTGTTGCATATGTGTTGCTTTGAAATGACCTAATATCAAAATAGTTAAAGGGCTTATAATTGAATTCAGTCAAAGTTAATTTCATGTTAGTCCTGTCAGGTTCTGTAAATATTCAGCCACAGAAAATGTGGTTTCTTTGAGCATGTTCTATCTGGTAGAATACCATCTGTAGCTTTCGTGTACTGGGGTTGACATTTTTATCAAAGGTCAATTCTCTGCACTTCTTAATCCCCTAATGTGACCTTCACAATGACTTTGAGGTTGTTACTGAATGGCTTAAGAGTCCAGACTTGATTTTAAGCTTCAGAATGGACATATTTAGAGAGATCATCAGCCTCGATGATACAATTTGTCTTGGTTTGTATTCCATGTTTAAACATGACTGTTTTGTTTTTCTTCCAACAGGTTACTGCAAAGAACAGAAGAAACCAAAGGTTATCTTCATGATGGGTTCGTAATCTAAAACACTTTTATATCCAAAGTATCGCACAGCTTCCCTCTCCCTATGCTCTAGACCAGAGATGTCCGAACAATCCAGATGGTGTTCTCAGCTGCCCCTTTTTGTCTCCAAATCAAAAAATGTTTATCAAAGCCATCCCTTATTTTAGCTCATAAGACCTTTTTTTAATTTGTAACCTCGCTTAATTATTGCTTTTAGATTAGATGGAGTAATTTTCTTCTTTGAGCGGCTTTCTAACTATTGTGGGTACAGGGTTTCTCTCAACAGCTTCAGAGATCTTCATAGGGCCTTGAGGGGTCTATTCACATTTGTGCACAAAAATAAAAATGTATCACCAAAAGACCAGCGTCAAATATTCAGATGACATAATCACTGTTAGGCTCATCTCAGATACAAAGGAAACGGGATACAGTACATGGGGTACATCTCTGCTGTTCAACAAAACACCAAAAAGACAGAAGATTTTAGAAAGCAGACTGGGCCACATGGGAAAACCTTTACGACTTTCAGATATCTGGGCATCCACATGTTTGATCTCTGGCTGGACCTACTGAACGATACAAAGGCCCAAAACATAACTAAATAATTAAACATTAAATGCCATCTCCTCTCTCTACAAAACATATCTGTAACCTGTAGTCTTAGTAAAACTAGGCTAATCCCACTATACTTAGACTGATTTATTTCGTATACACAAGTGTAAAAGTGTTAAAAATAAATTTAGTTAAGAACAGTTTAGTTAAGAACTTTTTTTTTTAAGTGCAGCCTTGAAAAAAGTAAAAAAAATACATAAAAAATATACCCAAAGTATACCCATTGGATCCCACTAATGGGACTGGTTGCCCGCTTGATGGAGCTACAAAACAATCATGGGACACAGATTCACCACCAGCCTCTCCCCCTGCGTCATATAGACTGAAATAATCACATTCTTCCCACAAAAGTAAAAATTACTTAAACTCAGGCACTGAGATCCACTCTGTCAATCCACATCCTGAGCATTTTGAGGGCTGGACATCATCTTGTTTACACCTATTATACACTCCTAATCAAAAGCTTAAGGCCAATTTTAAAAATTGCATATATTTCCACTTTGAACTGTTAACATTTAGATAGTTCAAAGTAGAGCTTCAAAATAAAAAGGAAGGAATGGAAACTCGCCTGATAGAGGTACAATATTTGACTTATGACTTAATATTAATATTGACTTAATATTTGACAGTATGAAAAGGAGTTTACTTTGGAAACTACTTTTTTTTAAATGTCCAATAAAGGCCAGTCCATCTTATATTAGCAGCCACGTCTGTGTTCAACTAGCAGCAGCTTGAGCATGTTAAACTGGATTTAGTAGCTTTAAATGAAGGAGTTAGCCTATTTAAGAGAAGCCTATGTATTTTTAGTTAGATTTTCTGCATCACAGAAAAGTCGTTAAATGAGAGAAATGTTAGCTGGAGTGGCCACCCACTCATTAAGCGGCACAAACATTGTTCAGAGTCACATCCGTGTCTGCTGGGTGACTCTTCCTTTATACCCTGGGTGACATTTTCCTCTAATTATGTGCTGCAGAACAGGAAAAGCTTTTTCGTCTTGCTCTCCATCAGTTTCTGAAATAGTCAGACAAACCACTCTTTATTAAGATCAGAGAGGATTTACCTGTTTACATTCTGTGCAAAGGGACTCAAAACAGCCTACCAGCAGCGATGGACGCTGATCAGATCTCATAACACATATTTTAAGTTTCTCCAGGGCTGAAACTCTAACAAGGTTTAATGTTTATGAAAATGTTTATGGTTTATGTTTTCTGAGTATTTAATATTTTCCATATAGATAAAACAGCCCTGTTTAAACAGGCTGTGATGAAAATATTTGCAGGGCGCCACTGTTTATGCATCACTGACCTAAAAGGTTTAAACTGAGGTCATCTTAGCAAAAATAGATGTTTTACAGTTTGTATAAAAATACATATTTATATAAATTTGTATGCAACAAAAAAATGAATACATTATAAATGTATACTGTTCTATATTAGTACTATAAAAACTGAATCAAAATAGCTCTGAAAGTACAAAATCATATAGGAATTGTAAATTGGGTTGAACATATAAAAATTTGACTTTTTCATTCCAGAAATGGCATCAGAAAGCTATAAGCATAGAGAAATCTAAATAGACAAAATTTGACGGCCATTATGTTCTGAACAAAGGAAACCGTTTTCAGCGTTCTTATGTTACAGAAACAGTGTTAGCTTCAATTTACGGTAATATAGATTTCCACTGAAAACAAATGGGTTGCTAATAGCTCGGTTAAAATCACATTTCAGCCTCACGTGACGACTCCTGAATAAGTGCTTAACGAGACAAAACGACCAACATCACACACCAAAAAATGGTTGTGAAAAGAGATGCATTCAAAATGTCCTAATTAGAAAGGATTTTTTTAGCCAAAGCAGAAAAGAATAAGTGTTCGCCATTAGGGCTGTAGCCCTAAAGACATTTTCTTTCTTTGGCACCTTCTTCTTCTTTTTGACTATTTGAGCTGATGTAACAAGTACATTTTTCTTCTGTGAGAGCAATAAAGTTAATCAATTAATCAGTCAATCAATCAATAGCTCTGAAATAAAATGGTTCATATTCATGATGTGATGTACATGGGCATTTGATCAGGGCAAAATGTCCTTACAATAAGGTAAAATATTTATAGATGTACAGGAACAAAAACTTCAATTATTGCTGCTAGAGATGTGTTTCTGTATCATCCATCCAACTTCTCCTGCTTATTCTGTCAGCGTCGCAGTGCAGCTACCATCTCCGGCAGTCTATGGACGAGAGGCAGGGTACTTTCTGGGCAGATCGCCAGTCTGTCGCAGGGCAACAGAGAGGCGTACATCAATGCAAACACACACACCTAAGGACAATTTAGAGAAACAGATTATCTAGCACTCATGTTTTTGGACTGTGGGGAGGAAGTTGGAGTACCTGGAGAGAACCCACGCATATTTGGGGAGAACATGCAAACACCATACAGAAAGACCCCAGGACGGGAATTTAACCTGGAACAGTGCTACAAACTGCACCCCGGAGCAGCCCTGTTTCTGAATCATGTGGTGTAAATAGTTTTACATACAATATTCTCAGGTTTTAGGTTTTGTGAAAAGATGCATCCATCATGATCCATCTATAACCTGATGAAGTTTAAACGTAATTAAAACCAAATAAAGAACAGGTGGTTTCCTTCTACGCTGTAGATCTATATGTATTGTTTGTCTTAAATAACCTAAAAGGTACCAAACTAATTTTATGATTTTTTGCAGTTTCAGTTAACCTTATATCCAGTTTTTGTTTTGATCATGCAAGATAACCACATTTTAGGTAATCAGTGTTTTTTAACTATAATATTTTACTAAGAAAAACAAAATGTAGAGGTCATAAAGTTACAATAGATACAAATGGATTGTAAAATTAAAATTGGTTCAAAACACCTAAAAGCTCAAGAAGCCAAAGAGTCAAAGATTATTACTGAAAAATTACAATTAATACAAAGCAAGATGGAGTGATGAGTCATTTTTATCAAACCCTCACATTCCTCAATAAACGTTCTCACTTATCCTTGTGTGCGTGTGTGGGTGGGTGTGTGTATTTGCTCCCTAGAGCTTTCACTGCCAATGATCATCTCCACTTATGTGAATACCTGAGGCATCCCAATTAGTGGAGGCAATAAGCCCATCTCTGCTTCAACCCATTTATTATTTAGACTCATTTAGATTTGAATATTACCCACTGAAACATGAAGGAAATTATTATTCAACAGAGCAGATTAAGGTAATAGAATTAGGTGATTTCCTTTATACCTCACGCATTAATGTCGACCTTGCTTTGCTTTCGTAGCATCACTCTTCTTCATTCCTTTCCCTTTGTGCCAACTTGTGTCCTTTTATATCTGGAGAGTTCACACACATTCTTGAATATTTGAGATTCTCAAACCTTGAGAGAAACTAGAAACAGGATGAACCAATGTGCTGACACTCAAATCACCTTGCAAGGTTCAGTTTTTCTGAAAATCTTTAAATCCTACAGAAAACCAATTAATATTATATGACAATGGAGAATTTAGCAGAACAGACTAAACTATAGCAGAATAGATATAATTGCATGTGATTTTCCTGGCTGAAGTGTTTTTTTTTTTGTTATGCTTTGCACTATAGATTTTGTATATGTTTTTTTAGAATATATTGCTGCATTGAACTGTAACCACATAAAAACTATGACAGAGTATTAACACCATTGCAGGTTATGGAAAGTAAAAGCCCCTGAGGAGTAAATTTCTGCAGATAACCCATAAATTTTGATTAATTTATGTTTTATTTTTGTTCTTTTAAAAAAAAAACTTGTATAATCTCAAATATTACAATTGTACATTTTCATGAGAGGATTTACCATAATAAAAAAAGGTATATATTGTTTTCTCATTGGTTTGTTTGGAGGAATAAACATTTTTGAGCGTCATCTAAATTAATTTGTGGATAATCATGAATCAATTTTAATTAGGTTGCAAAAATTAAACAAAGGTAAAAAGGTATTGATAGTATTAGGGATAGAAAATTTGAAAAAAAAAAAGAAAAAAAGAAAAATTTCTTCGCACAACATTAGTATTTGCTACACCGTTTTGTAAAGATGTAGCGTGTCTGCATGTGCACTGACTTCCAAATCACTCAACATTCAACATTTTGGTCAGTGTGCATAATTAAGAAGAAAGATAATATAATGTTAGAATTCTCCTATTTCTCCATAAATTCTCTGATAAAAAGCCTCTCCTTGTTCTTAATGTATAGTTTTGATCAAATCTGAATTACCTGCTTATGACCTTCTGGCTATTAGCAGGTTATATCTTTGCCTTTTTGATGAAAGCACAACAGACAAATCTATAATCTCCCCTCCCCTTGTTTCTAGAGATCTTGTCAGTAACTCCAGGCCAGCTCATATCAGTCTGCTCTCTCTGAGGAAATGGAGATGAGGACTTTTATTTCTGAATGTGAGCTGAGAGCAGGGAGTCAAGGATATCGATAAATGTAAAGCACCAACTTGTATTACTTTGCCCCAGGCTGCGTTTGATAGATCGCTGCTTCACCAAGCTTCTTAGCAGTGCTCTACATTTCACCTGAACCAACACTAAGCATTATAACCCATACTCTACCACCCTTTTCTGACCTTAAACCAATAGTATGATTAATTTGCCAGACAGAAAATGCTTTATTTGTGCATATTCATATGTAAATGACACTTTTTTTCTCCCTGGTTTTATAATTTGTAAAATATTAGTCTCATCTAAATTCAAGCAAAGTGTGATCTACTGTGAGAACGGCGGAGGCCATCTGTGTGTGAAAGCTGCATACAGCCAAATAGTAAAATGTAAATGATTTTACCAGCTTTCAGCTGTACATTAAAACCTTCTGAGATGTGCTCTGAGTGAGCACCAGAAAAAGAGTTTTAGGAAAAATACGTTTACTTAATACATTCAAAAATAGTAGCGGTATGTTAATAGGAATGCTAAAAGGGAATATTGTGAAATTAGAACAGACATGACCAGGATTAGACAAGTTTCACTCATATTGTCGGTTTACTTCCACCACCAAGCTAATTCTGCTCATTCTCAGGTAAATATGATCAGCTTTTTATTCACATTGAACAATGATGGCTCTAAAATGGTGACAGAGTAATTTATCTCTCATAAAACAAGGTGGTTTATCAATCCCTCACCATGCTACAACACTGGACTGGAGGATAGTATGACATAATTGCTTAATGTTACAGCCAGCTATATATTTTTGGACTTTATTAGGTCCATGGCAGTAGATGGGAACACCAGAATAACCTGAAAAGCTCAGAAGCTTATCAATGTTTACTGTACATGGCAACAAAATCGACTGTGTGCTTATACATAAAGCCTGTAATTTGGTGTACAGGAAAGCAGATGTTTGACAAAGCTAGTGACTAAAAGATGAGTGTCATGACACTAGGGTGTTGGTTACAGAGGAAATAAAGAGATAAAAAGCCCCTATATTTATGCATAGCATGGGTGAGGATACAGTTTTGCTGGAAGCTGCTGATGGGGAAGAAAAAAGAATGACTGTTCAAAAAAAAAAACTTTGGGTGTCGCAGAAAACACAATGAAAAGAAGTGAAGTGAATCAGTTTCATCTGTGTTAAGTTCCTAATTAAAACAGGAATTCAGATTAGGCAAAGATCAAAAATACCTTTTGGAAATTATAATCTATAAGCAGGTTTTAAACACACTTTTCACACAGCCTACATTCCTGTGTTGAAATTATATTATTAATTTATTTGTCACATTTAATATTTGACTTTAAAAGTGTTTTTTTTTTATTAGCTGTAAGCAAAAAACCTTTATTAACAAATAAAGCCTTGAACACATTAGTCATTGTGTTAAACTGCATTGATGTCACTTAGTGAATTAAGTTACTGTTGCTAATTATTAGGCTCCACCTGTATTTTTCACCCAATAAATTACCTGCTTAAACTATCTAAATTCCCTAAAATACAGTTTTCTTTCTTTTAACTCTTAATTGATTAATAATGCTTTTCAACCAATTATGTTGAAGAATTATACAAGCAATTAAACTTGGGTGATTTAACAGTTGCCACAAAAATATTTCAATGTTTATTATCCAATTACAGACTGAGAAATAAAATATACAAATGTCGTATTTTATTAGCTAATTTTGTTAAGCAGCAAAACTGTATTTCTCCACCCAGTGAACTCAGAGGAAGGTTTTCTAAATCAGTTTGCTCGTGTTAAGAAGGATGTTTTGAAATCAGTTATGCTGAGGAATATGGAAGCATCACACTCTCCAGGACAAAACCACCCAGAACAAACCTCCAGCCTACTGAGTGAATGTGTGTGTGAATGGGTGAATGACTGAATATAGTGTAAAGCGTCTCCCGACTTGAAAAAAGCACTATATAAGTACAGGCCATTTACCATTTAAAGGTATAGCTAGCCTGTGCTTTACTGCCAGGGTTGTTAGATCTGCCTGTTTCCAGCCCAAAATATCACCTCTATAAAAAACACAACATACATTCCTCTGGACCTTGTTCAAATCACAGATCTTTCAAACACATGCCTACAGCTATCAAGATCTACTGTATAACTAATTGATTTAAAAAAACAAAATATGAATTACTGCAACATTTAATTTCCCTTTGGGGTTAATAACATATTTTTGAATTGAAGATAGAAAGCAGAGCCATGTTATTATCATTAAGTTAGGCTCTGACTTCACTATTAGAGAAGCTAATAACAGTTAGCTTTGAAACATCATCCATCATCATTTTCGGGAGATTATCATCCACCCGACACTGCCCCCCCTAAAATTATTACATTGATCATTCGTATTAAATGTTTTGCTCTAGAAAAAAATACTAGAAAATGTCAATATTGTGTCATCAACACTTTAATACCCACTATAAGGCTGAACACTCTCACCATCCTCTTGTCTGCCTTTTTATGCTCTTCTCTCACCTTTCAATTTCCTCCACTTCATCCTGCCCCTGTTGTTCCTTTTCGTGGCTGCAGAGGATATTGAGTGATTTTCATCTGCCTCTGTCAGGTGGGCCGGGATCTGGTAAGGCTGTGCAGTGCGAACGGATGGAGGAGAGGTTTGGTCTTCGCCGCGTCACCCTGGGCGACCTGTTATGTGGCGAGTTGCAAGGTCACAGTGAGAGAGGACGCCACCTGCGGGACGTTCTGGAGAGAGGAGAGAAATTGCCAGAGGTTAGTTCGGTTCCTAATGATAATTCAAACACATATTGCTCCATAAACTTTATTGCAATTAGTTCCGCTACAAAGAAAAACTTAACTTTGAAAGCATTGGGATTTATTGTGATAGACCAGCATAAAACAGAACAGAACTGAATTACAAACAGTACATTTCATTTTCAAAGAGCAAATTTCACATTTTGTAGTAGATTCCTGCCTGCATTTGTTTGTATCATTTATTTATCAGGTATGTCTCTTTGCAATTACAAATCTCCTACAAGAGAGACCTGAGCAAGACTAATAACATATATATATATATAGATAATATGACATATATACATAAGCAGAACACCACTTTATCAATATTAATCAAAGCCTTTGCAAAATAATATCTTATGTACAAACTGATAAAAGAAACAATTTCTGTCAACTTTAGGTCATTCTGCTGCTGATTCGATCTGAAGAAGCAGAAAACTGAAAATATTTTTTCCCATTCTCAGTACGAACCTTGGGCACAGAAAATAGAATGAAGTTGTCTGAGCACAGATGATAACCCCTTGGAAGTTTTCTAACAATTAGAGATAAGAGATAGAAAGGTCAGGGGCTTTATAAATAAAAATATACCAATGCGGAATCTGCAGGTGGACGGATCAGTCCAACCAACATGGGTGTATAGAAGAAAATAGTGAGCTAGGGCTCCTAGACCAGAGATGAACCGTAATGCTGCATGGTACAAATAATCCAGCCTATGCAAGCAGTATGACATGCATGCATACAGATCATGTCACCACAATCTAAAATGGGCCAAAACCTTGCAGCACCATGACATTTCCTCTCCTCAAATGATAAACAAGGTTTAACTCTAATATTAAAACCCAATTTGCTACAAACTGGCTAACTGTCCTGTTAATGGATTCTTCCACCTGAGCGTTGTACATCTTTGCAGCTCCTCCAGAGTTACTTTGGTCCTGTTGGCTGTTTTTTTTGATTAGCACTTTTATTTTACCAATGGTCAGCTCAGGTAGTCAATCATGTCTTAAAAGTTGTGCAGAACTCATTTTTCTAATTTACTTTATTTAGTATTTAGGTGAAATCTGAAGAAATATTTTTAGACTATTTTATTTAGACAGAGTTAATTAGGATGAACAGTTATGTATGTTGCAGTTGTAGTCAATCTGTAAGACTTTTTCCCTTCAGGGTCAAAATTTAGTTAATAGAGACTAGTAAGTCCTTGTGAACTGGTCAGCTTAGCCCTGTTGGGCTTTTTATGCTCAGTTCTACTGCAGATACTGTGAACCTGAATACAGTTTTTGAATCGTTTGTCCTCTCTGGATTTTATCTTCATTTTGCCCTTTAGGTTCACAGCTTTGTGGGCAAACTGCTAGAACTACTTTAATATGTGTCACTTAAAATTCAATTTAATATAAAAGCAAAGGAACAAAATATTACAATGGGGAAAATGCATGCAGTCTTCTTGCTTAGACTTTATAAGACTGGGACCTGGTTTGGGCCCAAATTAGAAATGTCTGCAATGTTTATTTTAGACATTATGTGCTACTACTATATTTTTAACATGCTGGTATTTTTTTTACCGTGCTTAATTGTTCTGCCAATTACTATAAAGAGGCAAAATAGAGATTTCCCAAAGGCATCTCTGCGTCTCTTTTTTTTCCATGTTCAATTATATTTTGTTTCAAAGCTTTTATAGTTGTTGGTCTTGTTCATTGGTGTCTACTTGTTATTTGCTATATCCATCAATTAATTACTATAATCAGGCACCCACTCACAAGCACGTTTGAGCATATTGGGCAGCAGTAATGACTGTCCTGATCAAACATGGTGACGACTGAGCACAGGGCTGCAGTAAGGATTAAAGGAAAATAAGTCAGAGAGTAGTCTAAACATTTTCAATAGAGTTGATTTTGGGAGAGCATAAGTTTTAGGGAGAAAACAAAGTTTTACTTTAAAATAAAAGGAAGTTTGAGCTGTTTAAATCTCAAAGCCACAAATTCTATCACTTGTTAGCATGGTGGCGGCTGCATCATGCTGTACAGTCATCTCTACTCTTTTATTTGAGGAAATAGGTGAAATAATAGGGAATTGTGCCTGGGTTAATATCAAAATACAAATTCATGCAGCCTCTTTTGTTTATCTGGGGTTGGGTCACGGGGGTAGCGGCTTCAATAGGGAAGCCCAGACATCCCTCTCTTCCCAGCCACTTGGGCCAGTTCACCTGGGCAATGACAGTGACACCTGGGGGGCGGGGTTGGGAGGAATGGCCCACATGAACAGCACTTGAGTGGTGTTCAGTTTTTTACTTCTGTGCTCGTCATGGATTGTCCATAACGAACACCATGTTCAAGCATAAGAGTGTCCATATGTGCTCTTGGCACCTGGACACCCTAGACCGTAGTTCAATGATGAGGGAAGCTGTCAAACTGATGCTTTCCTACCGGCTTTATTGGTCTGTGGGACTCAGGAAGCAGCTGATGTTTAGGGCAGTCTAAGTGGCAGTTGGCTCGGCTGTTCTCTGAGGCAAAAAAACTCAGGCATGGGAAGACCTCAGGGAGGCCATAGAGAAAGACTTCCATATGGCTTCAAAGTGATTTGGTCCACATCTAAGGAGCACGAAGCAGTGCTGTACCATTACTGTTTGTAGTGGAAGGTGTGTGCTGCTGACCTCTACTCGAGACGTTATCTGATGGTGGGTGTAATACTTCGAAGACCTTCTTAATCCCACCAACATGCCTTCCATTGAGGAAGCAGAGCCTGGGGGTTCTGGGTCGGGTTCTCCCATCTTTGGTGCTGAAGTCACTGAGGTGGTTAAAAAGCTCCTTGGTGGCAAGGTCCCGGGGGCGGATGAGATTCACCCTGAGAACCTTAAGGCTCTGGATGTTGTGAGGCTGTGTTTGTTAACGTGACTCTGCAACATTGCACGGTCATCAGGGGCAGTTCCCCTGGATTGGCAGACTGGGGTGGTGGTCCCCCTACACTGGAGGGTGTGTTCAAACTACAGAGGAATCACACCCTTAAGCCTCCCTGGTAAGATCTACTCTGGGGTTCTGGAAAGGAGGGTCCATTGGATAGTCGAATCTCAGATAAAGGAGGAGCAGTGTGGTTTTTAAAAATACAAATATGAATTTTAATCAGTCCAATTTCAGGCTTACAAGGTGACTTTAGGACATAGATGAACAGCAACCCAGAAAGATATGTGGACCATTTAAGCCTAGAAAGTCTATAATGAAAGACATAGGGCCATCTGTTTAGATTTAAATATCAGATTATTTTGGAAGTAATTGTCTGATTAGCCCAAAGTTAGTTTTGATTCATCTTAAATTAATCTATAACAAAAATTACAACAAACATTTTTCCCCAAATAGAATTAAACACACTAAGCTTAATAAAGGCTAATCAGGGATTCAGAAGTTTCCATAAAAAATAAATAAAATTAAAGAAAGCTGAGTTTCTGAATTTCTTTTCATCTCTTACATCAGCAAGATGCAGGTCTGGAGCAGATATAAGCAGTAGAAATTTCTGAACTAAACAGGAAAAATCAAAGCCTAAACATGTTGCAGGATCGCGAAATACAAAATCCACAAAAAGCAGAGAACCGAGTCTACAAACTAAGACATGAAAGATTAATGATGCATTTGGTTTCGGTGTTGGTTTATCTCCTAGCTGCCACGGATCAGATAAGCTTTCCTCCCAAAGATTAATTTATGAAATATTAGAGGGAAGTGAAAATATTACAGACTCAGGACAGCTTAAGCTGTCTCACACAGAGCTCGATCGCCTCTATAGTTCACCAGTCAGGGATGGCATGGATGTCTGAGTGTATTTATGGGGAACATTCACTAACCCACTGCATAAACCAGATATGGTGTCCTCATTGCCACACACTGAGAAGATCCAAACATGTGCATCAAAGCAGAACTGACATCCTCCTGGAACTATATCTTCATGTCTGCAGACACCGAAAAAACTCTTCTTGTTTATGGAAGCAGACAGGCAACACACAGAGCATTAGAAGTGCTCTCAACATTTACTGCTGTAAATCTAACAGCTGCTGCTGTTGTGCACTCCACTCTTGATTAAAAATAGGATGAGCCAATTCTTCATAAAGGTGGCCAAAAATCGTAAATCTTAATGCAGTAATTTGACAAATAGTGAAGCTCTATCAGTGATATTTATTACCATCACTATAGTTTTCTCTGATTTGCAAGGTTTGCAGTATCCAAATTTATCACAGTCTCATAGGTTTACAATAACAACCTGTTTCAGGATCTCCTGTAACTGTCTGCGTTGCAGCTCATGTGTATTAGCCTCAGAACTATTCTGTTTTTTAATAAAACATTTTTCTTTTTGGTAAATGGTATGTACTTATATACTGCCTTTATTCAAGTCAGGAGACTTGACCAAAGCGCTTTACACTACATTCATTCACCCATTCACGCACACACTCACACACTGATGGTGGCAAGCTACATTGTAGCCACAGCTGCCCTGGGGCTCACTGACAGAAGCAGGGCTGCCATACACTGGTGCCACCGGGCCCTCTGACCACCATCAGTAGACAATGCAGGTGAAGTGTCTTGCCCAAGGACACAACGACACTGAAAGTCGGAGTCAGGGTTTGAACCGTCAACCCTTCGATTTCAGGGCAAACTCCTACATCCAACGCCACTGTCGCTCTATATCTCTAAAGGCTCTGAAATAATCCAATACTGTAATGACATAAGATTTGTCATTTCCTCATTTGTCATATTAAACCAACTTTGATATCAGATACCGATTACCTAAGTGAGAAAAAATATATACTTTCCAAATGATGAGTTCATCATATTAGTGTGGCTACTTCTGACAAGACTAAGGCCCAATGTCAATACACCCCTTGCCTTACTTCTTAGCCCTACCCCTAAATTTTGCGCGTTCCATTGAGGCTAGTGGTGTCCCAATTCTTCTTTGCATGTAGGCGTAGTGGAGACAAAAAAGGGTAGGCTGCTTAAATCTAGCCC